AACCAGGCTGTTTATACTGACTAACCTCTTCTCTTTAAGGTGCTTTCAAGCGGAGGTCTTATAAGTGATAGCTTTTTATTATCCTAGGACATAAATCACATGTGCCTTGGGTTTTATTGTGTGAAACCAATTTTACAAGGCCTCTTTTCCTGATTCATTTTTCATCTTTTGTATCACTTCAACATTTATGTTATCAAGTGTTAGATTGATAAGCACATTTATCATAATTGGTTCCTCATTTTGTCTCCCTCAGAATGCCAAATGGATCTTAATAAACATGTCTTACTTGATTGGGTTTCCAAAGACATCGCTTATTTCAAAACCTCATCCTCTAGCCACTTCGGAGCTGTCTATGTCATTACCAGTCCTTGAGATATCGGTAAGGTGTTAAGATAGCTAACTTTGTGTCTTCTTCCTGCCAAATTTAAAGGATCCTTCTTCTAACTTGTCTTAATTTGCTGGATAGTAGAAAGCATGCCCCCTTTTCACATGGGAACAGTCAAGATCACCTTCTGGTAAAGGAGCGCTTTTGTCGTCTATGTCCTTACCTATGACAGTGTTCTTTGTTAGATTACTTTGGCTAATAAAAATCATGGAATCAAACCTAATCATGTATATCTTTTATATTCTGTTTTCACACATCCCTGCTCAAACACGAAATAGAACTTTCTTCAGGGATTTATTGCATTTTCTTTTACTTTGAATTTATTTGCCCTGCAGTCAAACTTATCTTCTTGCTTTAAGTTCATCCTTTTGAGATAGACTTTTTATGCTCTCTTCTGATTCTCAGGCAGCATTGCTTCCTCTTATGTTCATCTGACATAATTTTGTTTGTTCCTGCTTAAGTAATCATCACTGATGAGATAGGAATTCTGCACACAGGACTCCATAATTCATTTAATCATTTTTCTAGAAGCATATCTTGCAAATATCCTGAATTAAGTTTTTGATAGGTACCTTCTTAGAGAGTTTTCTGATTCATTACCTAATAAGACACACTTTAAGAGGCAGTTGGCAGTTTCTGTACCTTTGAAGAAGAAATTATTAACATTATTATTTTCTATTCTTTCCAAAACCTGAGGCTCTTACTTTTCAGGATGAATTGTTTTCAATTTTTCAAATTGGTAGCAGGCATTTTCTTGTCTATGACAAAGAGCTATCCAACTAAAGAAGATATTTGAAATTAGGACATTTACAGACTCAGTAGTTTATGTTTCCTTTAAGGACTTATTTTGATCATTGACATAAATGAATTAATGGGAACAAAAGAGATGAAACAAAAAGCACCAAAAGAAGATTCATATTAACTAAAAGTATATTGAAATGTTCAATTTCACCCATAATCTAAATGACAGCAAAATACTATTTACTATATTCCAGGAAACAAAAGATAATAACTAATGTTGGTGAGTACACACTGAAGAGACATTGATATATTACAGTTGGGATGCAGATAGGTACATATTTTCTGGCATCAAATTTGCCAATATTGATAAAAAGAAATATTGACATGCATTGAAGTAGTAATGCAGGCAATGAAAATGTTTTGTAGTTGATTGAACTGAAGTTTTAAAATACTTCAACACCAAACGTATCACTTACAACGTGAGATCCACAAAACGTGGTCACTGGTCACACAGTGTGTCACGGTTTTTATAAGTGTGACCAGTACAAGACATAAGTAGTAAAGTAAGATCTAATATAAAGAACTAACAGGGGCTGGTTTGGAGGGGGCTATTATCCAGTCTTCAATATTTTCCAAATTTCTTTAAGCATCAAATGAAAATGAACACAATGTAATTCTTGATGTATTCTTATTTTCAATACCAGATATCTCAATTGCAGTTTTAAAAATTAAGTACAGGGAAATTTGGAAAACTGACTGCTTTTATTAGTTTTTAAAAGCATTAAATACTTGTAATAGTTAATAATATCTAGCTGTCATCTATCTATGATCTATATATCATCTATCTAGGCACCCACAGAAAAGTAAAAGCCTCTGGTTTGGAAATAGAAAGTAATAGTGGCAGGAATTCCTTCTTCAAATATATATATATATATTCACATGCATTATATATTATATATATGGGATAAAGATATATATATTATATATAGGATAAAGAGGTTCTTTACATACAAGCATCATGCATTTCCAATTTATTAGAGAAATGAAATACTTTTTCAGAACTAAATGAAGAGGTACTAGACTGTTTCTCCATAAAATCGAAGAATTATTTAGTTTTTAATTTTCTCTGTGGGATTGTGCAGAGGAAGAGAGCACACAGCTGTAAGTGCATCACTAGAAAAGAGGGTTAACTCCACGTGAAGTAATCTACTGTTTAGCGCGAAAGATCTGTATACTTGGTGGATGCTTGGTGACCCGGCTCACAAACACACTGTTCAAGGTAGCTTCCCTGGGGCCGTGCATGTCACTGGTGTGCTGGAGCTCTGCGAAGAGGGATTCCTGGACTGTGAGAAAAACTCCCTTTCCTTTGAGATGCTTTGAAAAACTTCTGTCGTGAAGATGTAATGTTTCCACTCATTTTTTCATATCTGACTTTAATGTACTTATCAATTATTCTTAAAGCCACAGCCCTTCCGTCTGCTCTAATGTAAACCCCTCACTCCTATATATATGTGTGTGTGTATATTTTTTTTTATTTTGGGAAGTTTTCAGCTTGCAGATTTCACTGACTGAACACTTGATTCTAAAACTACTTGCTGTTTTACTTATTGCCTTAATCCGCAAGACTGTGGAATTTTGGGCCTCCAGTTTGGGCTCTAAATCTTCCCTCCCTTTGCCCTCTACTTTGGTGCCTGGAAACCAGAACTTGCACCCAGAACCCCTTACCGACTAAGGGTAAGTCCATTGTAGCTTTCTTGGCCACATTTCTCTCTGATCTGGGGAGCCGCAGCATTGGATCCTGGATTTGCTAACATTTCTGGAAAATCATCAAGTCAACTGTGATAAACTCTGATGAAATCTTTTCCGTGGTCAATCTCTGAAATCCCCAGCTCCCCAACATTCTAGTTGATTAAAGCACAAGTAAGGAAGAGAGGAACCATAGTGAAACGTTCACTGTGTGGGGGCTTCTGAAATTGGGGGTATGAATGATTTTTTATTTATTTTGCATCTTAAACATTTTACATAGTAAGTCTACATCATTTTTCTTTTAAGGAAAAGGCAATCTGTGGTACACATGTGTTCCACACATATGTGTAAATGTGTATATTTGTATATATAAATCAAAAGCAAAGAGCTAAGATCAAGGCCTAAATTAGATTTAGTTAATTTGATTTTTTCTATACTGGAGATTGAACCTGAGGCCTTTGCACTGAGATTTACATGCTCAGCCCTCTTTATTTTGAGATATAGATAGTCTTGCTAAAGGGCTGAGTTGCTTAGGCTGGCTTCTAACTTGTGGTCTCCCTGCCTCACTCTCTCTGGGTGCTACAATCCATACACTGCAGCTTTCAATCGCCAGTTCTGTCGTCCTCCAATTCATTTTCTATGATATTTCTTTAACAGAAATTTCTCCTTTATTTCTTACTCAAAAAAATCTCTACAACTGTGAAGAACACATGAGCAAAGGCCAAGGCTCTATGAGGCACCCCAAGCCTTCTGTTACATGGTGCTTAGCTTTGTACCTGCTTCTAGGTTTCTTCAGACTCAGTTTAAAAAATAGGCCATGTATTCTACCCTCTGGTTCTGTGGTTTCTATTTTTTCCCCGCCCTCTATCTACATGGAGAAATAGCAACCTTCAAAATATGGTCCGACACAATCTCACACGTAAATCTGACTGTGCGTGCAAGAGGAGTTACATCTTTCCTTCGTTTATTCCCCTCCTATTTATTTTCCATTGCATTGGTATACACTTCTCTACTAGTAGCTATTTTACTAATTTCTTGTATTTATTAGAATGAGACTATTATGTCCCGTTTTCAAAGTCACCAGAACCACGGAGTTTGACCTCAGAGGATGCTGATGTCCTAATACATTCAGGGAGATGATGTAGCTTAAACTTTGTTCTGTTTCAGTTATTTTTTAAACGCCTGCCTCCCTCCCTTCCCCGCGCTGGCCTTGCTGTCCTGTCGTCAGATTTTTAATGCTTACATCACTCTGGGTCCCCTTTTCCATTGTGGAAAGCCCCAGGAAGGACTTTCTTTGCTTTTACTTCTTGGACTCCTTTGCAAGGATGTCAAAACATGGTCTGTGCTGTTTCCCAGAACCATGACATACGTGAGAGACCCCACCAGCCATGAGACCCTGGGACTGCCTGACTGAAGGGTTCAGTGAATTGATTTCACTTTCTTGAAACGTGAAAGCTCAAGTTTTGAAAAATTTCATAAGTACCATTTTAGTAACTAAAAAATTTTGTCAGGAAACAAGCTTACATTAAAGTCGACGTTTAACCATTGTTTCATGTACTTCCTACACATTTAACAGACTTGTGATAGGTATAGCAAGTTACTTTTCTCTAGCTGTACTTTTACTTAATATTACTGATAATCTTAAAATTTGGAACACAAAACAAAGCATTAGTAAGAATATAACACACTGCTCTATTAACTCCCAAAATGATAAAGATAGGTTTACTGTGTATTTCTGGATCAAATTTTATTCTGGTTTTTAAAAGCTGGCATGTGGTTCCATTATTTTTCCAAGCAAATGGAGGTGAGGCTTAGGCTTTTTTGGGAACCTATAATCTCTTTTGAGGCAAATTAGGCACCACATACAACAGAAGTGAAGGCCTCTGATCTTTAGCATTTTTAGAAATTTGCTACTCTTTAGGATAAGTCCAGTTATACAGTTTCGGTCACTTTATTCAGCCGCATAAATAATCTAATTGATGGGCCCCTGGCTGTCTCACACGCCAGCATTGCTTCAGCAGGAGAGGTAGTATTGGATGTGTTGCAATTTGTGTGACACGTCCATGGGACATCATTGCGCGAGAAGGGGCTGAGAGAGGAGGAGGAGCTGCGGGAGAACATTTAAGGGCAGAATGAATGGAAATCCAGAGAACTCTGCAGCCAGGCTGACACCCTGCTTGTGGGGCTTCCTCTCCAGCCTTCCTTCACATCGATTCAAAAATCTCCTAGCAGAAGTCTCATACAGTGTATGTGATTTCATTTAACTCTAGTCACGATCCATCTTCAAAATGACGAGGATTTTGATAGCCTGCAAGGTGGTGAAGACACTGAAGAGTAGTTTGTGCCTTACCAACGTCGTGCCCCAACGATGGAAGTATTTCAGCCGGAGCAACTCCCAGTTCCCTGTCCAGGTAACACCCATCTTCCTTCTTTCTAAGGTCAGCAGTGGAGCAGAGATGCAAAGTGCCCCTTACGAGGCAAATACAGACTTGAGTGCAGTTCCAAAGTGCTCATCTATTAATATTCACTTTATTGTAAAACCTATTGATTTAGCAAAGGCTTGTTTTTATTTCCTCTGAGTAATTTTGTTCAGAAATTTTCTAAGTCAATTTTATACTGTAATTTTACAATGCTTTCTACCCAACATGAAGAATGGTCACAGTTCCTGTGAAAATACACATTTAAAGATACTACTTGAGGACAAAAATTAAAAAAAATCTCTCATTGCTCCTCTGTGCCTTGATTCTATTGTTGACAGTATGAGTCTGAGAAATGGAGTTGTCTGGGTGTGCAAGACCGTACCGCGGTAGGTAGTGTGTCAGGCTGCCGTTGTGGGATCCCTCTTTGAGGGTGCCATTTTAATAAATTTTAGAAGAAATGTATCTATGTCATTTTGATAATTGCAGATCATCATGTGGATACTGCTGTTTTTCTCTTTCTTTTTAACCTTTCTTTAAAAAGGCCCAGTTTCATTGTCATTTTGGCAGATGAAGACCCTGAGGTAGATAGCCGCTGATAATTCGGTCTGTCCACAAGTATGGACAACTGGGGGGCAAATCTAGGAAAAGGACATCACACTGTCTTTCCCTTTGCCCCCACTATCAAATTTTGCTCTCCCCGAAGGGATGTCTGACATTTCCTATAGCTTTGTGAAGACGTTTGTTACCAGACAAGTCTGAAATTACTCCAAGGGAAAATCATCTGCAATGAACATAGAGTTTAAGTAATCTCAGTTGCTTATGTGCTACTTCTTTAGCAGTAAGAACTGTAAAACATGAAATAGGGACAAGCCTCTGTATGCTGATAGAAAAATAAGTTAGAAGAGTCTTGAGTGTCCTGCTTATATTTCATGTGCTCACTGGATTGAATAAAAATGTCTTAGGTGCTTTCCTTTCTTGGTTTACTCAAGATTTAGTGCTTTTCAGTCCTGACACTTGTTGGGCTAAGTGGTGGCAACAGAGTCCTTGTGGTAGTTTCCATCGTCCCAGCAGAAAGGAAAGGATGCTTTTAATAGTATTAGTGGGGTGCCAGCAAATTCAACCTACCACGCTGAAAAGACTCTAGAAGGAGTTTAAGAAACTATCATTTGCAATCAATTAAACCAAGGAAAACATATTCTTGGATTCAGTTTAAGTATATCAAGAAAACCAGAAACTAGAACATTCTAAACCACCGTAAAAGTACTACTCTCTCTAGGTATGGACTGTGAAAGTGAATATTTGGCTTTAGTTCAGTGTTAGCAATATCTCAAGGATATTTGTGTGTGACCTCAGGGAGAATAAATGGTAATGAAAATAATATCACTTTTTGGTTAGAGGTGTCTTCTAAGTCTGAAAATAATACCACTTTTGGTTAGAGGTGTCTTCTAAGACTGAAAATTTGGGTTGCTTGGATTATCATTTTTCTTCTTATGGAAGTAGATGGGAGGGATTGGTGTGTCTTCCCGTTAGGCCCCAGAGGCAGAAGTTGAATGGTTACTTCAAAATGGCAGATGTCACTGAGACTAGAAACCAGTTCCTCCAGATCACAAATTAAGCACTCTGCTCCAACAGTACCCACAACACAAGCAGTCTAGTTATGTGGCTGGACTACTGGGGAAGCAGTTCTTCTAGATCTGGTGGCAGGTCTGTTTCAAGGCTCTGCCACTGCGCACAGCTAAGAATGACAGATTTGTGGGCGGAATAAGCCATCATATCATAGTGTCAAAGTCATTACTCACCCTTGGTCATTACTTGCCTGAGTTTTGGAGGGATGCCAGACATGAAAAAGAAGTTCTTAAACTTCACCGTAGTGAATTAAAATTCCATATGCAGTCCAAGGGGACTTGTGCTATTCACTTGTTTTGAAATAGTATTCTACCTAGCTTCCTTCCTGGTTTCCCTTTTAAAAACTCTCTAAGAAAGATCTACTGAAATTTATTTTTTAGATGGGTATCATGTTTTAAAGACAGCTAAAATCCTTAGGATGTACTTACACTTGGGTCAGTGAGGGGTGGTGAGAAGTTACTAAGGGTTAGTAGGCTGTGGTCAGAGGTGCCAAGTAGATTGTGAAAGGCACCCTGTGGGCAGATTGTGTTAGCACTGATCTGTAAGTTCAGTTGTTTTTTCAGTGTTTTTGGAGGTCATTTTCCCTCTTCCCTTGGCAACAGAGAGAGAGAGGGTGGGTTTGACGACAGCAGTGATGTGCTTGTAGTTTTCTGAGGTGCTTCCTTGCGTTATTTGCTCGTGGCTAATATTTATAGAGAGTGCTCTGCCAATAGACACAATTGTGTAATTCACTTGGGGGGAAGAGTTTCAAGGTGTTCTACATTTTAAAGATAGTTGGTATCAAGGGTATAAGTGATCAACAACCATAAAGCATAAAGGTTTTAAGGACATAATCTCTTTTCTATTAAATATTGAAAATGTTCAGTGCTCATTATTACTCTCAGCTGGTTGTAACAGTATAGTGGAAAATATTATGGATGGGGAATCAGAGATCTGAATTCTAACCTGTGCTACACATTTCCTGACTTTGGTAATTCACACATTTTCTGAGCCTAAATTTTGTTATCTGTACTGTGGAAACAGATCTTCATTTATTCAGGAGACTATGTGGTCCTCACGCAAAGTCAATGATTGAAAACCTACAAGAGTCTTCAAAGCAAAAAGATATTTTAAAAATATCTGCTGTATCCATTCAATAGAAGGACTTAGTGGGGGGTTAGATAAGTTTCCTGTTTTCAATGTACTACAAATTATTACCATGATGTCTGGTAACAGTTCTTACAGAATTATAACAATGATTCTTTCACCTTTGCTTTAATATCAAACTTGTTTTTAAGAAGATGTTTCTTGTAATGAGAATCATAAAGGATTTATAAAGCAAATAATTATTTTTTTCATTATGGAGAAGTTAATTCCAGAGGCAGAATGTATGCTAGAATATCTTATTTCATTAATTAATTCATTAATTAATTATCTAACAAATATAGAAAGTGTATTGTGGGAGTATACAGGAATGATATAAGTCAAACAAGTTGTTAAGAAATGCACCAGAAACTTTTTAAAAATTCTGAGTCTACAAGATTTGGAAAGTCACTAAGGCCAAACAGTTTTATTTTTACTTGCAAATGAATTTGGAAATCAAATGTATTAAACTGAAAAGGTTAAGTTCCCCGAGAATAGAAAAGTTTTCAATAAGCACTGCTTGTACCATTAATCCACTCACTTTCAGAAATGGTGAGCTGTGTTATAATTAAGCCAGGAACCTAGCAGCCCAAGTGTCCTCTCTGTTACTTCAGACTCAAATGAACCCTCAGAGTCATCGCACTGCACTGAAGGGATTTCACTTTGCAAAATTTATGTTCTGAGTCCATCATGGAAATTTCTACTTAACTCAATCTGGAGGAGCTATTGTTATTTGAGTAGACATTAACAACTACAAAAATTCCTGCAGTTGGAATCATTTCAATATATTGTAGTAGCTTTAAAAGTTATTCATAGAAATAAAATTTGTTATTTATTAGAGTCTCTTTGTACTCATTGGAGGTAAGGGTCAGGTATAGTAGTAAGGTTATGAAATATTTTTAAGATTAACTATTTTAATAGGCTTATTGCCTATGGATACATTTTAGGGCTGAATTTCATCTGAGGTAATCTGTTTTTTTCAATGGTAAATTAAACTCCTATCCCAATGAATTATTGCACAGTAGGTTGGAAGACAACAATTTGGTTGGAAGACAACAGTGCATATTTTTGGTGTGCAGAGATTTTCTAGGTAGAAGGTGGCTTCTTTTTTTCTTTTTTCTTTTTTTAACATTTTTGTGCATGTTCTCCACCTTTTGTATCTTTCTAAAGTATAGACTCATTTTTTTTTTTTGGCTTGGGTTGGCAACATCATCTTGACATATTGGATTTCTTGACTCAAAAGACTTGAAAATGCTGTAGACCCATCGGCCTACACTGAGGGCCTGTGAGAGGGACGTGCAGGGTGGGCCAGCTAACGGAGCTCAGTGAGGTGCCTCCTGAATCTTACACCCTGTCTCACTTGCCTTACCCTAAACCCAGCCTGGGTCAAAAGCTAAAGGCTGGCTCAAGAGTCCAGTCTTGACCCACGTTTGCCTCGTGCCTCTCCTTGAGTTCCAATGTATCCATGTTTGGGGAGCGTTCTTCATGGTTCATGAAGTCTTGAAATGAAAATGAAGTCTTGTGTGAAAACAATGACTATTGTTTTGCTGTTACCTAGCCTTTGGTCTTTCTTCCTATTTATGACTTGCTCCAAAAGTTGAGACAAGTGGGAAAGAACTTTCAATACCCGCTAAAATGTGGTTACACTAGAATGCATTTCCAGGCTTAGGCTGTAACACATCTTTTTTGGGATCTTTAAAGTGACCGAGCCCTGAGGAAGACCACATGGGTATGTTCAAACTTGGAGTTAGACTTTCCAGTGAGCTCCTGTTTGCACTGGATTTTTTTTTCCAGTGTAGTCTAAATGAACTCAATCCATGAGACTACTTTCAAGGCTCCTCTCTTTTCTTTTTTTCAACCTATTAAATGCCACACATGGGTCTTTTAAATTTGGTAAGGAGGTTATTGGCTAATGTGAACTTGTCATAAACAAATCTGTAGGTTTACTACATCTTTAGAGAGTTTTATTGAGAATGTTTCTTCTGTGATATAGAACTAATTATTGGACCATATTCATTTATCACCTTATGGCAAAAGTTAGTATACAATACTGAAAATTGTTCCCCAGACTTAGAATAATATGCCACATAGCATATACTTAGCAACTGCTTGTTAGAAAACCTACACTTTGTGAATGGATTTGTAATGGGATTTTTATAAATACTATTTTTTATTTATAATGAGACATAGACTAAAACTACTCATCAGCTTGTCTCTGTCTACATTCAGGATGTAAAACTTTT